CTCTAGCCCGGGCAACACAGTGAGACTCTGTCTCAAAAAAAAAAAAAAAAAAGAGCTACTATGCAGAAGGACCCCAGGGGTAGTCTTCTCAGTGCCTTGCAGGCCACGACAGCAAGGGCTTCCGGGACTCACACTTCATAAGGTCCATCTCTCACGACGTTTAGGTTGAAGGGTCCAATGGATGCTGCCTCATTACTGCTTCTCAGATGAAGGCATGTGGTTCCTTCATCAATTCTTCTTTCCAGAATGAAGGTAAGAGCCAGGCATGGTGGCTCATGCCTGTAATCATGTGATCGACACCAAAGGTGCCTGCTCCACACATACCTGTGGTCACCCACACCCTTCTCCAATCCCCTCCACTCCTGGCCATCGGCTGGCCAGCAAACCATCGCTAAGGTCAGTCTCTGATCTCAGCATCCAGTGATTGACCAGTAAGCTTTGGCTGAGTGCGTGAGAGGACGTGCTGCCCACTCTATGGGTCTCCTCTGTACCTAGACAGGGCCTCCCAGAACCAACGCTGCTCTGTACACACTGACCAAATCCCAGATGCTGACCCACCATGGACTTGATGATGCCCCAGCTCCCACCTCCCACATGCAACTGGCTACCTGCAGGTTCAGGCCATCAGCCAGACTTTCCTGCCCACCCCAGGGCCCTCCAGGGAAAGAAATGGCCTCGAGCTCGCTGAAGCCTCTGGACTTTATTCCAGACTGGGCCTTGGTCGAAGGCCAATGGCAGGCCTGAGCAGGCTGCCACTCGCCAACGTGGGGTGAAGGGAAGGCGGGGTAGAGGGTGTAGGGGTGGAGGGTATGGCCACCAGCCAGCTCAGCTGTAGCTGTCAGGGTCTGTGTCATCTAGCACAAAGTAGCGCTGCAGAGCAGGCTGTAGGAGCAGCGGGGGCTGCGAGTGGGCAGGCCTGGGCCAGCCCGGGGGGAAAGGCTGCACCTCCACTCGTGGCAGCGGCAGCTTCAACATCCGGATGGAGCCATCCAGGGTGCGGCCAGTACGGGACAACACTCGGCCTGGGGTGGGAGATGCAGTGAGGTGGTGGGCAGGGCTGGGGCCAGGTCAGTCTCCGCCCCCATCTCCACTCACCCCTCAATCTCATCCCAGACTTCTGAATGTTGGCCTCCTGAAGCCGCAGGATGGGGTGGTGCCTAGGGGTAAGGAGGCAGGTTCAGCCAGGCCTGGCCACTTGGCCCTTGGCTGCCTGCGCCCATGCCCATGCCCGCACCCAGCACACCAACGATCCCGGGCTGGCGGCACCACCGTGTTGGGCACCATCAGGGGTGGGAGTTCGGCCTCCGGGATTAAGCTATGTTGCCATGCCCGCTGCTGCTTGCAGAATAAGTTGAGCGTGTCAATGAGGCATAGGTCCAGCATTTGCGACTTTGACCAGTCTGTCTTCTCGAGTGGCGGTGGCCCCTGAGGCAGCGCAGAGGGCACTGAGGAGTACAGGTCGGTCTCAGGCACCGAGGGGAAGCTCTGCAGCATGTCCGAGAGCACACATCGGGTGTGCTGGATGCGCATCTGCTCCAGCACCCGCTCGCTCTGGAGCTGCAGGGCAGCCAGGTCTGGCTGCACAGGTGAGACCACCGTCACGGGCTTCTCTGAGGTCTGCAGGAACCTCTTGGACGTGCTTAAGGATGACCAGGAGGCGCCCGACGGTGTCACCGAGGCCTTCGAAGCCTGCGATGTGGTCTTCTTGGGATAGGAAAGCTCCGAGGTACCATCTGAGACCTTGGGCAGCACCACAGACAATTGGGCTACAGATGGCGGCTGCAAGGTCTCCACCTGCGGGGAGGAAGCGCCCTTGCTCCTGGAGCCCCTGCACAGACAGTGAAACTCCCTTCTGCCTGAGCCCCGGCCCAGGGGAGAGACTGCCCATCCTCTGACAAGGAGGCTAGAGATGCATCAGGTAGGAGGACTCCAGGCCCAGAGCTGGGTGAGGCACGGAGCCTGCCTGCTGGCCTCACCTGGCTCTCCCCCAGGACTTCAGGAAAGCCTCAGAGAAGGCAAGAGTTTCCCACAGGTGGCCCACCCAGCCCTGCCGGCCACACCTGCAGCTGCTGGATCAGGTCCTCCAGCTTCTGGCAGCAGCGTCTACGCAGCGCAGCCTTGGAGTTGAGGTCAGGGCCCTGCACCCAGGTCAGCATCTCCTTGAACAGGAAGCCCTCCGGGTCCTGAAGGCCCAGCCCGTCTAGCAGCTTCCTGAGCTCTGGCCTGGGACACACGCATGTGGCTTACCCAGAGGCCTCCCGGCTGGTGAGGGGGACCCAGCAGGAGCAACACTCACTGGCAGGAGGCTGGGGAGTAGAGGAAGTAGGACATGAGCTCCAGCACCACGTCTCGGGACTCCAGGGAGCAGGCCAGGAGCAGCTGCAGTGCCAGCAACACGAATTGCCTCTGAGTCCAGTCCTGAGCACAGATGAGGAAAGTGTGCTTGGTGGGTGTGGTGGGAGGGGGGCCGGGGGCGGGTCAAGAGGCACACCTGGAGGCTGGGGGGCTGGTCCAGGTTGAGCAACTGCACGAGTATGCTCCGCAGCCGGCCTCTGAGGGTGCTGCTTACGTCAGGAAGCAGCCTCAGCAGCGCACGCAGGATGTGCACGCGGTCCACCCACGTGGCCTCCTTCAGCAGGCGCAGGAGTAGTGAGGCCAGGCCCTCCACTGTGCCCATCTCCGGGTATGCCTGTGGAGTGGGCATGCCGAGGCCCTGGCTCCCACTCCACACCAGGTGTGCCCCTGCCCCAACCCTAGCCTGTACTTCCCAGATACCCCCGAACCTCCACGGTGAAGATGGGGAACAGCTTTTTGAACCAGTTCTGGCAGACGAAAAAATGCAGGAACTTGGGCAGATGCCTAAAACGCTCTTCCCAGAGCGAGCGCCTGTGGTGGTACTCGGGGTGAAGGGAGGTCTCGGTCCTGGCGGCCTCATGGGGGCGCTCCAGGGTCAAGTCCGCAGAGGTCTAGGGAAAGTGGGGGCCACTGTAGTCCCCGCCTCTCTGAGTGTCAGAGCCGAGCCCACCCTTGAGGTGGCCTGGGGGTGGACCCACACCTTCACCCCATCCCGTTTGCCAGAATCCATCTGCTGGTCAGCCTGTGACGTCTCAGGGCTCAGGGAAGCCGAGACCCAGTCAGCCTCCAGGTCCAGCTCCTCCTCCCACTCCTCTTCCTCCTCCTCTTCTTTCTCCCCTAACCACTGGGTGAGATTCCTTTGCCACTGCGTGTGGAACTGCCTGCTGTGCCGCTGCAGCCACAGGTCATACTGGCTCACACCTGGCTGCAGAAGGGAGAATGCAAGATGAGGCATCTGGTGGGCTGGGGACAGTGGAGCCCCCCCGAGCCCTGCCCTGCCACCCAGCCCAGCCCTCTTGCCTTGCGTCTCCTCTGGGAAGTGAGCTGGGCCAGGGACCCCAGGCAGCCGATCTCTGCAGGCAGCCACATCTGCTGTAGCACCACAGAGTTGGGCACGCAGCCAGGGAAGCTGATGGGACTTAGGCAGAGCTGGAGGTGGAGCACAGCAGGGGCTGAGAGCCTGAATTGCCCCAGCACAGACACTGCCATCACCTCCATGACCAGCCAGCTGTGCCCACCAGGCCTCCAAGAGCTAGACTGGGCAGGCAACCTCTGCTTCCCACACACAGATGGGCATGGAGAGCCTTGAGACACCAGGGGGCAGGGCGGTCAGTGAGGATCAGCTATCCCAGGGAGCCTGGCACGCCCATGCGTTCCCCATAAGACTCAGGCCCCAGCCCTGGAGCAGGGACATCTATAAGTAGCATGGGAGGGGACAGGGTAAGAAGGAAGGAGCTTGGCAAAGGGGGGCTTGATGGTGCTGCCCGAGCCAGAAGAGTCTAGGGCCCACCTTGGTGGGTGACAATGCCAGGCATATGCTAGGGCAGGGGCTGAGGCCTGCCTGGGCATCTGGTGTGGGCAAGGGTGGGGAGATAGTCAGCTCCCCTGTATTTTGGTCCCCTAAAGGACAAGGACTCTGGTCTTCCAGGAGAAGCTCAAAGGGGCCCTACCCACCCCACCCAGCACTTCCACTGGGGAGAGGGCTGTGCAGGCACAAGCAGCTGGCAGGGGCTCTGGCTTTGCCTGGTGTCTGTTCTGGGAGCCCTGGAGCCCTGGCTTAGGCCAGGCTCAGGCCTGGGAAGCATTCAACTCCCAGAGCAGTAGGGAGCAGCTGGTGTCCCCCTGAACTGGACCTGGCAGGGATGAAGGGTGGGGAAGGGAGGGTTACAGCCTGACTTTCTGGGCTACAGGTGGGTATGGTCCCCCAAGTCAGATTCTGACACAGAGGTTTGCAAGCAAAGGGGAGATGGGGTACACAATAAGTGTGATCCTTGAAGTGGGGTGCCTCTGGGGGAGTGGAGGGGTCTCACCTTATAGGGCTGTGTGGTAGCAGGAAAGAAACCCCCAAAGTTAGACGGAGGCTCCTTGGGCCGTCTCTTCCACAGCAGAGGGATCTGGGGACAGGACAGGGGCTCAGAGCAGAGTACAGCCCCCAGCACCCCTCCAGCTCTGCCCTCGGGTAGGCAGCATCCCACCTGCCTGGGTCCCTCACCCTGTGCTGCAGGTGGGAGGATGGTGGGTCCAAGTCCATGGTCGGCCTCCCTTGGAGCTGCTCCCACTGCAGCTGCAGATCCAGGCTGAGACCCAGGTCGTGGCTCAGGGAGGAGCGGGACAGAAGCTAGGGTGTGGGAGGAGTTACCAGGCAGGGGTCAGGACAGGGCAGGACCTGAGGTCAGGGTAGGGGCAGGGGTGGGGCCTGAGGTCAGGGCATGGGTCCTGAGGTGGGATGAGGAGGGGGAGGGGCGGGAGGCTCACCTGGGATGCCCTGCTATGCACCCTTCGGTAGGTGGGTGGGATAGGCAAGGTGATTTGGGGAGGGTGGGCAAAGCGCTGGCCCAGGGCCCCCAGGTCCTGAGGGGGCAGGGCTGTTGGTGCTGTCTGGGCTTCAGTGCTGACCCCAGCCTGCCAGAGACAGGGGCCAGCTCTGGGCAGGGCACACATGTCCCAGATCTCTCTCTCCACTGTGAGGGTCCCAGTGTTCCATTGCCAGGACTCCCTTCTAGACTGCACACCCTAGGAGGAGTAGAACCAGACGCTGTGTCAGAGGCCTGGGGGGCGGCGGAAGGGGCCAGGGTCAGGGCTGGGGCTGGGGGAGGCCCCATACCCACCAGCAGGCCAGAACCATAGATCAGGCGCAGGTAATTGTCGAAGGCTTCCCGGCGCTGCTGCCAGGAGGGCGGGGGCCGGTCTGCTGGGACCACTAACCCCAGCCTTAGCTGCTCAAGGTCTCGATCCCGGGCCACTAGGGCTTCCAAGTCCTGAGGTGGGGGTCAGAGGTTAACCCATTCTTCTGAGCCTTGGGACATGCTGCCCAGGCAACCATGAGGATCCCAGGCCTGAGCCTGGGTAGGGGACAGGGCCAAGGAGGACCTACCCACCTCCTTCACCACTGGCTGCTGAGTTGGTGTCATCTTGTGGATGAAGGACAAGGCAGCACTGCAGATGGGGACAGGCACAGGTGGGACACTGGGTGGCATATCAGTGGGTCGGGGCAGGGATGAGGACTAGCCAGGAATAAGGATGCTGGGGCTGGGATGGGGCCTCATGGTGGGGGCATGCAGCCAGGTGGTGGCCCAGCAGGGCTGGGTGGGGGCTTCCCGATGGCCAACTGGGCCTGCCATTAGACCTGAGGCTGGCTGCCCCGTGTAGGTTGGCAAGCTTCTGCAGCTGGGCGGAGGTCAGTGACTCTTGGCTGGTCAGCGGCAGTGGAGGGTCGTCCACCATGTCAGGAGCCTTCCAGCACAGCTTCTGGGCAGGAGAAAGGAGCCTGGGTCCCTGGCCTAGGGAGCCAAGTCTGCCTGCAGCAGCCCCACCTCGTCCACCCTGTCCTCACTGCACACCTTAACCAGGTAGGATGTGGGCAGGTAGAGCCTATGGGATACCAGGCAGAGGCGGGAGCCCAGCGCCAGCACCAGGTCCCCACTGTTGCCGCAGAAGGCCAAGGCCTGAGGGGCACCATTCAGCTGCAGGAGCCTGGAGGGGTGCCCGAGGCCAGAGTCTAGTCCCTGTTCCACAGAGGGAAACAGGCAAGGGCAAGGCCCTCTCCCCCCTCCAGCCACTGGGGCTGTTTAGAAGCACAGATAGAAGAGCCCAGCCAGCTTCCCCTCAGCCTCTCCCTTGGGCCCCAGCCCACCGCAGCAGGCGGTTCTCAGCAGTCCAGATGCGGATGGTGCAGTCCAGGCTGGAGCAGGCATACAGCCTGAGCGAGGGGCAGCAGCACAGGCCTGGGGACGGGGCTCAGGGTTAGGGGACAGAGCAGCTCGCTGGCCTGCTGGCCTAGACTCCACCTTCACTCTACCCCTCACCGGTGATGTGGTCCACGGGGTCGTCCTGGGGCCGGTGGTCAAATCGCCGGCTGTCACCCAGGCCAAACTGCACCAGGCCATAGGTGGCACTGTCTGGGTCCTCAAAGCCTACGGTGACACGTTTGCCAAGCACACAGAGTGTCACGACTGGGTGGCAGCAAGAGAAGGTGCGCAGCAAGCTCAGGCTCTCCTCGGCGTAAGGGAAGACTCGCCACATCTTCACGGTCAGGTCTCCACCTGCAGGCAGCAGGAGCCAGGGCTGGGCCTTGGGGGTAGGAAGGGTCTCCCAGGCCAGCCACGTGGGTAGGGGAGATGCTGACCTGAAGACACGATGCTGTTCCAGGTGGATGCAATAGCTGTGACCGGGCCTGGACTGTGCGCCACATTACGGAAGACAGTCTTCGATGAGACCCACTCGAGGACAGACAACGCGCCGTCTGTGTGCCCCACCACGGGCAGGTACCTATGGGTAGCGATGGAGCCTGCTGGTGTGGGCCCTTTCCCCACGTCCGCCTGGCCGTTCCTCACCAGCTCCAGCACCCACCGATTCTTGTCCTTCGAGGCCCAGGCCATGGTGCTGCTGTGCAGTTCGCCCCTGTGCTGGCGCACTATCTCCCAGGAGGTGAATGCGCTGCCAGGGTCTGCGAGGTGGCTGTACAGGTGCAGGCAGCAGGGCTGTGGCGCCGGGGGTGGCAGCGGGCACACGCGGTGCAGCACAAGCATGGGGCGGCACGCTGCGTTGGCGCGCACCAGGTGCCCTGCACGCGTCAGCAGCCACAGCGCCTCGCGTGGCAAGCAGTAAGCGACGGCAGCCGCGCAGTCATCGGGTTCCAGCAGCAGCGCGCTCACAGTGCGCCCGGTCCCAGCCGACAGCAAGTAGACCGAGCCGTCAGCGCAGGCGCACACGAGGCGCGTGGGTAGCGGCGGGTACACCGGCGCCGGCAACGGGGGCGCTACCAGCAGATGGAGCACTGGTGCCGGCAGGTGTGCCATCAGCGAGTAGAGCTCGCGCACGCGCCACAGCTCCAAGCTGCTCTTGCACAGTGAGAGCACCGGCCAACCCGGGCTCATTGGAGCCAGTAGTTGTCTCACGCGCCCAGACAATGCGTCCTGGCCCCAGGAGCACAGCGCCACTTCGCCCACCTGTGCCGCTGCCCTCAAGTCCCATGTGCGTAGTGTCCCGTCCTGCGAGGCCGACAACACCAGGGTGGTGTTCGGGAGCACCGCCAGAGCTGTCACCGGGCCTGTGGGAGGGGCGTGTCTCACTCCAGTGCACCAGGGAGAAGGAAGGGGAGCTGTCAGCCCAGGTTGCAGCCAGCGCAGAGGCCTGGCCAGAGCCAGTGGAGATACTGGATAGCCCAGAGCTGTTTAAGGCAGAGGATCGAGCTTGGGGTGGATACAGATTGCGCTTTAAGACCTGCCCTGGCATGGCGCACCTGTGTGGCCCACGAACACCATCCGGATCTGCCAGTTAGCCTCCCACACTTTCACTGTGCTGTCCCGGGAAGCTGTCACCATGGCCTCTACCTCCTTGGAGTAAGCCAGGTCCGAGATGGTGCTGCGGGTGGGGAATGAGGGGGTGGGGGGGCGGCAGACTTAGCACGGCCTTGCACATGGGCGGCCTGTGCCCCTTCCATGACCGACTCTCGCTAGTGGACCCCCCTCACGTTTTGTGCAGATCCCGGCGCACATCTACGAGAGCCCAGGCCTGCAGATCGAAGGTGAGCACGGCCGAGCCGTAGGCTGCAAAGCAGCGCGGGGCCTCGTGGGGAGGTGCTGGTCCCAGTGCCAGACGCTTGAGCTCGCCCACTGGGCTTGGCGGTGGCTGCAGGGGTGACCCACACAGCACCAGGCGGCGACCACCTGAGCGGAATTTCCAGAGCACCAGGCTGCCGCCCATCTGGGCCACGAGCAGCAGCCCTTGGTCAGGCACTGGCAGGCAGCAGGTGGGTTCGCATCCTGGCACCCAGCCCACCCCCGGCTCGCTTAGCCACAGCAAGTTGAAGTTGGGCCCTAGGATGGCTAGCCCTGCGGGGCCCCAGCCTACAAAGCGGCCCACAGTGCCCAGCGGGCCCAGCACGGCCACCACCCCAGTAAGTGCCACAGGTGCTGGCAGCTTCTTTTGTGCCCAACCGTCTTCTCTGTGCAGGTGCAGGAGGCCAGCGCCGTCCAGCACCACGAAGCGTCCGCCGACTGGGTCCTGAGCCACGGAGCACAGCCCAGCTGCCACCTCCAGGCGGCGCAGCGGCTCCAGCCCGTGCGTCAAGCGCGCGACACGCAGCTCTGCTCTCTTCTCCTGCGTCGGGATGGGCACATCCGCAGGTAAGGGTTGGGACAAGGGTTATCAGGGTGGAGTCGGTGCTGGGAACCCCTTGGGGAAGGGCTAGATCTGGATAGAAGCCTCGAGGCAGATGCCCAGGGAGAGCCGCACCTTTTCCACGATGTCGTGGAGGCCTGTGCGCAGAAGCAGCCACAGCTGGCGGGCACGGGCCCTTGGGGTCTTGGTTTGCCACCACTGGCTGCTGGTAAACAGCGGAAGGAACTGTGACGGCTCCGTGAAAGACAACTCTGCGAGCAGGAGTTGGAAACGGTCACCCAACCCTGGAAATTGGGGCAGCTGGAAGCCCACTTCCGAGGGCCCTTTCTGGTCGGGGACTGCCCAAGGGAGTTTCATCCCCTGGAATGGAACCTGCTCCCCAGAGGCACCTGGGGGAGGAGGACAAGTCCCTCACCATTCTTTTCAGTGAGCAGCCCAGGGTCTGGAAAGTCAAAGCTGTCTGCCTCATACAGGTCCGGGTCCAGAATCGGGTTGTCGCCTTCTGAAAAGGAGCTGCTTGCATCCAACACTTTTGCCTCCATTTCAGCGACTGTGGGTCCTGGCACTCAACAGTTCCCGGGACCCAGCGGAAGCAGTGGCTGTTGCTAGGATACCAGACACCATAGGCCCCACCCACGACGCAGGCCCCACCTCCAAGCCATATCCAGGTCCACACTAAATCACAGAAACTTTTATTGGAAACGAATGAGCTGCAGCAAAGTGACACTCAGTGCACACGGTCAAACGGGCGAGGTGAGGGGGGTACAGGTGGGCGCCAGGGACCAGCCCAAGACCAGAGCCGGTGACCGCAGGGGCCTGCTTGTGGGGCCTCAGGCCATAGGCCCTTTGGGCTGGAGTGTGCAGGCCCAGTACAAAATACAAAAATAAACTCTGTGGTCCAGCTGTCCCTGCCTGTGGCAGTTCGTTTGGGGAGGCAGGCAGTCGCTCTTCCCACCAGGTCCCGTGCTGTCTATCTAGTCCAGCCACAGCATGGGCAGCAGCAGCCTGTGGGGGTGAGTGGACATCCACAGGCTAGAGCCAAAGGGCCAGGCAGGTGTGGCCTTGGGCAGCGCTGGGACTGTGGCAGCGCCAGGGTCCGGCCAGCAGCTGGGGAGGCCCTGGGGCCTCTCAGGTGGGCAGGTCCAGGCATTGGTTGAAGCTGGATGAAGCTGGGGCCTCTGCTCCTCATCACATACACATCACTGGGACCCTGGGAAAGGGTTGGCATACAGCAGGCCTTGAGCAGCTACCACTGAGACCAGATAGAGGGCCCCCACCCTGTCACACCCGCTCAAGGTTCCAAGGACCTGGGTCACAGCCACCATCACACACCTGTCCTCCTTGGTGCTGGTGTCCTCGGCCCCGCCCTCACTGCTTCCGCCTTCTTCCTCCACTTCCTCCCCCAGTTCCATGTCCAGCTCATTGCCTGCCTCTGAGGGTGTGTAGGTGGAGCCACTGGGGGAAGAGGGGAAACCAGTCTTAGGACCGCCTACCCTAGGCCTGCCTAGCTCCAGGGAGGATGTCCAGGAAGGACAAAATCAAGAGCAGGTGGGCACAGCTGGGGAAATTGTGTGGGCCTAACAGGGAGCTGGGGGAAGGGAGGCAGATGGTGCCCACCTGATGGAGCGGCAGCTGAAGAAGACAATTCGCTTGAGGCGCTTGTTGTAGAAGAAGTAGTTGAAGGACCAAAGGCTGCCATCCTCCCCAAAGGGATCTGAGTCTAGGTCTGGGTTATAGCTGGAAAGTGTGGGGTGAGAAGTGGCATGAGGCCCCAAGTGCCACACACACCTGGGGGGCCCTCCTGCAGGGATGCCGGCCCACCTATAGATGTCACATTCTGCCAAGCAGATCTCCTCATCCACTGCATTCCACAGCTGCGGCTTCAGGGCCTTGAAGTCCTCTCGCACAGCTGAGAATAGACTGCAGTTGACTGCATTCACCACCTACGGCAGGTCACAGTCAGGCTGACAAGGGCCCTGGACAGCAAGCTGGAATGGGTGGAGCCCAGGGATGACCAAAATGGGGGAAGGCAGTGGAATGGCTGTGGGGCTGTGGCTCCCTTCCCTCCACCTGACCCTCACCCAACTGAGGCTGGGCTCCCGGCTGAACTCATGGCTGCGGGCTGTGCTGAAGTCATAGTCAGGCCTGAAGGACTCGTTGAGTGTGGCAATCAGGTAGAAGAGGGTCTTGCGGCTGCACTTGTCACTAAGGGGGCCCTCGTCCTCACCACCTTGGCTCTTGCTCAGTCTGCAGAGACAAGCGTCAGCCCAGCCCACCACCCTACAATCCCCCAGGGGCAGGGTCCACCTTGGCTTACCTGCTGGGGCTAAGGCCAGAGGTCTGGGGTGGGGAAAGTGCCTCCAGTACGTGGGGCTGGCCTTCCTGGCAGAACTGCTTGAACATGTGTTTGTCGTCTCCTGCCATCTTACATGAGTAGCTCTCAATCCTATGGGATGCAGGCAGGATCATGGAACATTGCCTCCCAGGTTTGATTCAGAGGCCAGGGCAGAGTGACCTCTGAAATGCCAGCTTCCAGAACCTCTGGCCTCACCTGCCAATGATGTGGGCATCTCCGGTCTCTACAGTCAGCTGCGAATTGATGGCCTCAAAGCTCGAATTCTCCAACAGCTTCATGTCCTTAGGGAAAGGGTTCTGTGCTCCAGAGGGGCTAGTACTGCCTAAGGATGTGGGAGGCCAGGCTATGGGTATCTGGCCCCGTGGGGCTCTGCCTTCAGCCCTCCTACCCCGAAGCAGAGGTGCTGTAAACAAACTGAGTCTGGCTCCACACAGCTCCCCTCCCTCTCCTGGTCTGCTAGCTGATGAGATCCCCTTACCTGAGGGTGGCAAGTCCAGGCTCAAGCTCAGCCACGCCCCCTGCAAGCCACTAAGTTCTGGGACCAGGTTGGGAGGCCTCCCTGGGATCCTCTCTTCCTGGGACCTAGTCTCTTCCTCAACGTTACCCATCCCCATCCAGAAAGAGCCCCACCCACCGTGGGGGTCATTTTGAACCCGCGAGGGACATGACTCCCGCTGCAGTCCCCCTCAGGCCGAACTGGGCTGCTCAGCCTAGGAAAGAACCCGCATCCCGGTTGAAAATCAGGACACCTGGGGCTCCGAGACCTGTGGTCACCTGGACAGGCTCTTTCCCTGTTCTGGCTGCTTTCTGGCAAGGGGGAGTGGAAGCCCATAGGTTCCTCTGCTCTACTCTGCAAAAGCACCTAGTTTCTCCAGAAGCTATGGAGCGAAGAAAGGGCCCGAGGAGTCCGCCAGGCCGCGCCCGCGCGCTGGGGTTAGGGGTGCCCGCCGAACAGTGGAGGAACTACAAGTCCCAGGAGGCAGCGCGCCGCGCAAGGCCTGATGGGGGCTGCGGTTCCGGCCGCCCGAGACGGCGCGGGGCAGCGGGCAGACACCCACCTGCCTGGGCTAGGCTGACCGGGCCACGCCGGGCTGGGCCGGGCCGGGCCGGATAGCTCGGCGTCGATACCGGTGCGCAGGCGGGGCAGACTCCGCTAGTACGGGCTCCTCAGGACCGGAGGGCGGCGCCGCGGCCTCCTTTCGGGCCGCACTGCATCCGGGGGAAGAAGCTCCGCGGCGACGTCCCGTTACTCCCGGCCCTGCCGGCCCGTCCGGGCTGCCGCCGCAACATAGCCTCGTCCCCCTGCACAGCGCCCGCCCTCGCGACCGACCTGCCGCTGACCGCCACAGAGCGCCCCGGCGAGTCAGCGACCGAGCGAGCGAGCGACCTCCGCCTCCCGGGCCGGACAACAACAAGCGTCCGCCAGGCCCGGCCCCACGCTTCTGAATGGCCCGCTCCAGCCTCCGGGATCGGGAGCTCCAGTAGCCATTGGGGCTGGTACCTGCCGCTCAGTCCTGCCTTTTATTCCCACTGGCTCAGGAGCCTGTCTGTCACTCTCCTCGCCGCACAAGTCCGCCTCCCCCCGGAGCTCACTGGTCGCAACCTCGTTGGCACCGCCCCTCGGGGGCCTGGCCCCGTTCCCAGGGAGGCGGGGGCTGCCCGGCGCAGCTGCCGGGGGCGCGGCGTGCGGCTCCAACCCGGCGTTGTGGTTAGTTACCCGCCCGGCTGCACCCTCCGCCCGTGTGAGCCTCTCGGGCGAAGGGGCCGCGCCCATCCTCCAGTTGTGGCCGGTGGTTCGGTCCCTGATTCTTTGCCTCCGAGGTCCAGCTCAAACGTGACCGCCTCGGCCACGCGCCTCGGGCCGTGCCCATTCCTGGGCAAAGCGGGCGAGTCAGGCTCGGCGGGTGAGCGGCACTCGGTCCTGTCCTGGGTGCCGACGCTCTGGCTGCGCTCGGAACCCCAGGCTTGAAACTCCGGTTTCCGGCCGGCAGAGGCGTTCAGCGGCCAGATCCCACGGAAGCCCGCTCGGAGGGCCGGAACCAGGCCGGACCGGAGATGGCGCCGCCCGCGGGAGGGGCGGCGGCCGGCTCGGACCCTGGCTCGGCCGCAGTGCTCCTGGCTGTGCACGCCGCGGTGAGGCCTCTGGGCTCCGGGCCGGACGCGGAGGCGCAGCTGAGGAGGCTGCAGCTGAGCGCAGACCCCGAGCGGCCGGGGCGCTTTCGACTGGAGTTGTTGGGCGCGGGCCCCGGGGCGGTGAGTTAGGGCGGAGGGGGCACGCGCTCAGTCGGATCGGCCCAGGCGGGGCGCGGAGCCCGAGGCCAGGCCCCTCTGCTTGCCAGCTGGGTGCTCTTGAGCAGTTATTTTTCTTTGCTTCTGTTTTCTTGTACGTAAAATGGGTGTAACGCTGGTACCTACTTTACCGGACTATTGTGAGGATTTGATAATAAGCGTAAAGGGCTCAGGGCCTTGTAAGTGGCCTGTAAATGTTATCTCATATTCCTTTGCTCATCATGTGTGGGGTGGCTTCCCCCATCCTCAGGTCAGTTTTGAGTGGCCCCTGGAGTCCGTCTCCTACACCATCCGCGGCCCCATCCAGCATGAGCTGCAGCCTCCACCAGGAGGCCCCGGAACCCTCAGCCTGCACTTCCTCAACTCTCAGGACGCTCAGCGGTGGGCAGCCCTGGTCCGAGGTGCCACCGTGGAGGGACAGAATGGTCAGTGCCTTGGAGTAGAGACTCATTTGGAGTAGCCCTGGCCTCTCAGTCCTGGGTGACAAAGCTGGGCCCACATTCCCACTCTGGGGGTCTGGGAAGGCTCCCATGAGGGAGAAAGTGGAGGAAAGAAGGGGTTGAGAGGCTGGAGCCCGGAATACCAGACAAGTGTGGAGAGGCAGAACAAGCAAGGCCTGAGGCTCCAGTGAGGAGGCGGATTATCTCCAGAGCGGTGGGAGACTGACAGGCTTAGATATTTGCTGCTGAAAACTGAGACTTCTGCAGTCTGGTGAGTTGGTGTCCATAGGACTAGAGAGAAGGATGTTTCCAGACAGGCTTAGAAAATGGAATTAGCTGGGTTTCATGGCTGTTTAAATGGAAAAGGTAGTGGTTGAGCCTGAGAAAGATGGAGGGACCAGGTAGTGCGGGGCTCCCTGATAGAGGGCCTGTGGGCGGACATGGAGGTGGCTAGGTTCTCACACATCTGAGCTGGAGCTGGGGCTCTGGAGAGGTGGAGACTGGGAGGAGAGGTCAACCAGGGTCACCAGGAGAAAGCAGCAAGAAGAGAAGAGGGTCCAGCCAGGGAGAGGAAGGACAGCTCAAAAACGAGATGGAGGAAGAGCTGCCAGAGGGGTAGGAAGACAGACAGTAGGATGTAAGAAAGGCCTGGGCAACTCAGCGTTTAGAAAGGTAAAGGGTCTCTTTTCATTTGTTCACTGAATCTGTGTGTTCTGCACCTGTTCTGTACTGGGCACTTATCACAAACAAAACCTCAAATCCTTCCCCGTCCTCTTTGGGCTTGCATTTCTAGAGGGAAGGCAACATATAAAATAAGTACAGAAGATTTCTGTTAAATGATAGTATAGGAGCAAGAAGGGAAGGCTGCTATTTAAAATAGGGTGGCAGGGAAGGCCTCATGGAGAAGGGGACCTATGAGTGAAATTTGAAGGTTGTGGCATGAACCATGTGGCCAAGGGAGTAGCAAACACAAAAGCCCTGAGACAAGTGTGTGCTGGTACAGGGACTTTTGAGGCTCAGTGGGGCCAGGGCCAGGCACAGTGCTGGGTGCTTGGAGGGCCCTGCTTATTTTAGTGGAGAGATAGTTCAGAATACCAAGGGCTTGTGGCCATGATAGCAGCTATGTCAGCATTAGGTGGGGACCCCCCCATTACAGTGGGCTGGGCCTCAAGTGGAAGGTAAGAAGGGAGACAGCAACATGCCCAATTCTGTAAAGATGCCCAGGGCAGGCAGTCCAGGTGTGTTCTGAGCTGATGGTGGAGCCAGGAGAGGAGAGGTCCCTGAGTATACCAAGAAGAGGCCACCCTGACTGCAGGCCCCTGCCTGAGGGCCTGCTTTGGTTCTGCTGTGAGTCTGAGGGGGCATGCATCCCTGGCTACCAGAAAGGGCCAGAAGAGGTGGCCTGGCTTCTGTGGAGGGAGACAAGTGGGACCAAGTAGCAGAAGCGTTCAGAAGGACTCCAGTCCCACTGATAAGTCAAGTACAGCTCTAACACCAACAGGAGTCTGGCAGGGCCCTATGAAGGGTTTGCAAGGGCCAAAGCTGGGAGGGGAAGGTGTGGCTAGACGTATTAACTGAGTAGGGACCTGGAGTGGGAGATGAGGCAGAAGGCAAAGGTCCTGGGGGGAACCTGAGGGCAGAGAGGCTTGGGTGGAGGCTACAGACCATTTCACATTTTTCCTCCTAGGCAGTGGCAGCTCAACCCCAGCCCTGGGCCCAGAAACATGCCCTGTTTCCCTGCCCAGTCCCCCTGAAACCCCAACACTCAAGGCCCCCCAACCCGAGGCGGATCTTCCCCAGAGCCCTGGGGACTTGATAGAGAAAGGTAAGGGCAGGTAGGTTGGGGGGTTAGGGGAGGCGGCCAGTGCCCAGCTATGACAGCTGTCCTTCCCTTTTCCTGTGGAAGACCTGGCTGAGCGCCTGGCCCAGGCCATTGCAGGTGGGGACAAGAAGGGGGCAGCCCAAGCTGCAGCCATCATGGCCCAGCATCACGTGGCCCTCAGTGTCCAGCTCCAGGAGACCTGCTTCCCACCTGGTCCCATCAGGTAAGGCCTGGGACTTCTTCCTCACCCTGCCCTCCCAGGTTCCCCTTCCATTCCCTTACCCACATTCTGCCCTAGGCTGCAGGTCACACTTGAAGATGCTGCATCTGCTACATCCTCCGCATCCTCTGCCCACGTTGTGCTGCAGGTCTACCCCCACTGTACCATTGCAGCCCTCCAGGAGCAGGTGAGCACAGGGTCTAGGGAGCCCTGCTGAGGGCAGGGGACCCTGGGTGACACTGCCTGCTCTGATGCCCTGGCCCCAGGTGTTCTCTGAGTTCGGTTTCCCACCAGCTGTGCAGCGTTGGATCATTGGGCAGTGCCTATGTGTGCCTGAACGCAGCCTTGCCTCCTATGGGGTATGGCAGGATGGGGACCCTGCTTTCCTCTACTTGCTTTCAGCCCCTCGAGAAGCTCCAGGTCAGTCCTTGATGAGGGTAGGGTGAGGGAGGTGGGATACAGCCTGAGACAGCCCTGAGCTTCACCCCTTGCCATAGGATGCAGCCCTCAGCACCCCCAGAAGATGGATGGGGAACTAGGACACTTGTTTCCCCCATCAATGGGACTGCCTCGAGCCCCCCAGCCAGCTACTTCCAGCCTCCCCAGCCCCCCTCAGGTGGGCAAGGGACCAGGTAGGGCAGGGCCTGGGTGTCCATGGGCATGAGACAGCAGGGAAGCAGCAACTGTCTCCCTACCTCTTCAGCCTGGCTGGCCCTGTCCTTCCTGCACCTTCATCAACACCCCAAGCCGCCCTGGCTGTGAGATGTGTAGCACCCAAAGGCCCTGCACTTGGGACTCCCTTCTGGCAGCTTCCACCTAGCAGCCAGCAAAGGTACCAGGGGTGGGAAGTAGGGGGGTGAGTGGGTGGACAGGGCAGAACAAGCAGGAATGACTGTCTCTCCCCCCTGCAGATTACAGGTCAAGCATGGCTCTTCCTTCACAGGTCCGAGGTCTCAGCCCACTCCTGAGCTGCTCAGGGGACCTCTGCTGACTGCTCACCAGGGACAGATCCACCTGGTTTGGGGGGAATGGCCACAAGCTGGAGTCATTAAAGACATTTATGAACCAGTGAATGTCCCCTTCACAGTGTCTCTGGCAGAGATGGATGGGGCTGAAGAGTGGACTTGGACCCCAAGTCCTAGTGGTCATGGGAACATAGCACAGGGGTCTCTGCTTCACAGACCCCAGAGGCCTATAAGGATCCCACTGGCTGCTATTGGCCTGTGAGGCTGCTGGGTTGTTCCACATACTGAGCCCAGGCCACTGTGAGCCTTTCCCTCCAGCACTGACCTGGTCTCTTGCCATCCACCCTGGTCCCCCAGGCCTGCGCCCCTCTTCCTCTGCTTTCAGCCCTGTTGTCACTGCCTTTATCCCACTCAGTTCTTGCTCCTGCTAGGGGCTGGCCCCTAATTCTTTCCATTCCTCCAGCCAAGATAACAATGGAAATGGTTATTTTCCTTCCCTTCTTAGGGACAAGGGATGCTCAGGAACTGGGAGTCCTGCACCAGGGCCCTGTGCTACTGCCACCCTCCCCTCAGATAGCTGCTGCTATGTACCTAGCTACTGCCAGCTGTCTGGCTTGGACCCACCACCCAGCTGCCCTGTGGACTGCTAGGAAGTGCCATCCCATAACAAATACCCTACCCGACGCCTTCCCCACCATGTGCCCCTCTTTAGTGGACAGCACATCCAGCTATCTAGCTAGGACACCAGGGGGACAACATTCCAGGTGCTCTCCTCTGGGCCCAGCCCAGAAACAGCTTCTGCTCTAGACCAGACCTTTCCCTTGTTGAAATGCTGCTGGGGCTCCCAGCTGCCATCAGGATGGAGGCCAAGTGGTTCAGTATCAACACTGGCCACTTGTTCCAACAGGTCCCTGGGCCCCTGAAGTATATCCAGCCTGGCCTGGCCCTTTTTACCTGTGCCAGTACACACCTCACCCTGATGAGTGCTGCCACTTCCTCTAAGCTTCTGCTCTCTGTCCCAGATACCAGTTAGTGCAGGACAGTGCTGGCCATATTGCATGGGCATCCTGGGAGCTCCAAGGATAAGGGTCGTGAACCAGAGTCCCCTGCAAACCTGTACTGCTTTCACATAATAGATCAAATGTATATGTTGAGAAACTTAATTTATTCCCATGATAGGGACTGAAGGAGTATCTGGAGCTAGAACCTGGCCTCCTGCCCCCTTCCCTCTTGTCCCAGATGAACAGGGGCTTAGCTGAGTGGCCAGCTGAGGCCTGAACAGGTCCGGGGTGGCTCCTGGGCTGGAAGGCCTGTTTAGGCAGGATGACAGGCAGACACTGGACAGGGTCACTTGGGTGGCCGATATGCCAGCTTCCGACTCTTCAGGACTGACCATTTATGCCGCTTCATGGCATAGACCAGGGGTAGCAGCAAGCCCATCATCATCAACATCTGGGGACAAGGCAGGCTCAGAGAAGGGAGGTAGGAGGGACCCTCCCAGCACCTGACACCCACTTTGGCCCTTGCCCAACCCTTTCACCTTGAGCCCCATGCGTTTGCGATGGTCATGTTCTGGCTCAGATGCCCAGCGCAGGAAGGTGCACACATCCTTGGCTACCTGGGACATGGTAGCTGGGGTGCCTGGGCCAAAGAGGAGTGGTGAGGGCTAGGGGCTCATACACCCTCAGGATACCCCCTTTTAGGAACAGAGACTGACCCCTACCCAAGGCTTCAAAAGGCTAGGACCCACCCCCAGGACACACAAAAGACTGAAGGATCCCAAAAGCTGCCTCAGACATGCACAGACAACACCCCAGCCAAGAAGGGGGCGGGTCTTCTTGGGACCAGGAATGTAAGGGAAGCATCTGGCAGGATGGGAAAAGACTCAGCTGGTCCAATCTCAGAGGGGGGCCTCTCACCATCATCAAACTCCAGGACGTCAGTGTAGATTGGAGGGGCCATGCCAATGGCCTGGCCAGGGAAGTAGGGGTTGAAGTAGAGGCCTTCTCGCAGTGACACCCCAGTAGGTGGCTCACAGTAGCCAGTGAGCAGGGAGAAGACGTAGTCCTCACCACCGTGCCTAGGACCAGATCCATGGCTCCTCAGCCCCTGGCACAAATCAGACCTTCCCCCCCAACTCTCCAGCACCACCCTGTGGGCAGCCCGTATACCTAGCTCGCACGATGTAGCTGAGGTCAGGGGGCAATGCTCCATTGTTAGCAGCTCGAGCAGCCTCAGGGTTGGGGTATGGTTTGGGGAAGTAGTCCGACAGCTTCCCTGGACGCATGAACATCTCCCCATCCTCATTGGGGCCATCCTGAACCTCCACCTGCGACCAAGAGCCTCCTCACAACCCAGCCATCCCACCACGGTGGGAGCCCCCAGCCCTAAAGTCCTCCACACCCCAGGCCCCACACCTCCTCAGCCAGCGCTTTAGCTTCATCCTCCGTGTAGCACACGCCCACCAGGTGGCGGTACGCAACGTAGTCCATGCTGTGGCAGGAGGAGCACACCTGCTTATACACCTGGAAACCCCTCCGGATGCTAAAGAGAGAGAAAGAGTTAGGGGCACCCAAGATCCCACCCCACCCACTCCACTCAGAAACTTCCCCAGCCAACCAACCGCACACCTGGTGTGGTCCAAGGAAGAGAGGAGGCCACGGTGAGACCACGGAAAGCTGGGGGGGTGCAGCTCCAGGTCACTGGCACTCACAGCAGAATGTAGAGCCATGGCCAGTCCTGCACCCCCTGCCGCCAGCATGCCCAGCGCTGACAGCATCACCTTCCGGCCGCGGGAAAGGCCAGACTTCGACGATAAGGATACTGCCTGCAAGATCTCCGCTCAGCGCCTGCCAGGACACCACCCAGCCCTACCTGGGTATCTGCCTCTCAACGCCCACCTCTCCACCCAGCACTGGCCACCTTCTGCAGAGTGCCAGAAGAACGCCTTGCCCCACTGCCCGCCCCAGTCCTTTCCGTTGCTGACCCCCCGACCGTGACTCGGCTCTGAGGAGGGGTGTGAGATGTGTTCTTGGATTCTGAGCCAGCGTCAGGCCAAAGTAGTCAAGGGATGCGGGGGAAGGTCAAGGTCACAAGCAGCTAGCCGAGGTCAGGCCGGGGTCACTTCAGGACGCGAGCCAGTCTGGACAGCCAGCGGCAAGAGACGTCCTGGGCGCACTCTCCGGGGAAAGCCCCCAGCCCGGACCCGGCAGCGAACCCGCTCCGCCGCCCCCCATGCTAGGGACAAAGCGCCCTGCGGTTCGGAGGAGTGGACGCCTGGCCCTGTTCCCGGGCGCCGAAGGTCGGCAGGCAGCGGAGACCCGGGGCGCCAGGTGGCTGAGATCGCGTCCCCGCTGCCCCGGCCCACGCCCAAAGCCTCCCCGCCGTGACCTTCACAGGGCTGCGGGGCCGCGCGGAGGCCGAGTCCGGGTACAGCGCTCACCTGAGGAGTCCGCAGCGGGAGCTGCCCGGGCCGCGCACCGCACAGTAGACCTGGGACACGTGCGCCCGGGAGTCCCGAGCCCCGCGGGCCCAGCACCACCCAGCGAAGCGAAGCCGCTGCCGCCGCCATCTTGGCCCTCTTTTGCGCGGCGCCGCTCCCGTCAGCCCCTGGGGCTCCACTCGAACCCAAACCTCGCGAGAGCTGGAGAGTGCGGGGTGGACTGGGCCTGCCGGGACCTGTCGGTCAGGCCTCGGCCACCGCCTCGCTGTGCTCTTTTGGTTGTCACGAAACTGACAGTTGCGCGGGCCCCGTCGCGTCGCTGTTGCCGTGACAACGGGTTTCCCTCCGAGCTTGCCTGTTTGGCTGTGTCTGCGGCTGTGGACAGGCCCCGGGCCGCGAAGGGCGGCTCTCCCTGGCGTTCCCGGGGGTCTTGCGGCCGCACCGCCGGCCACAGGCAGGGCCAGCTCCGGGCAAGGGCGGGCAGTGAGGCAGGCTGGGAGCCTCGGGGCTGCAGCGCCCACTTGCCCAGCCCGCTCTGCTGGGCCTGGCCCTGTGTTCTCCGTCATTCATTCGGCAAGGATTTATTAGGCACAAATTATGCCCGGAAACAGGTGCAGGAGCCATGAGCAGGACAGCCAAAGTCCCTCAAGAAACTACTGCCGGTCATCAGCGAAAAAGGACCTCTGGAAAATTTTTCCACCCCTCTGCCCAATCAAAGCAAGAAATAACCAGCAAAAATTGTCAGAATCAACTTTCCCCGAACTACAGAAATTAATCAAAGGCTCTCAGCATTCCAGGGAGTATCTAAAAAAACAGGTGAGTATCAGGAAGAACAGCGAAATTTGTGGTGTTTTAACTTTCCCTGGTCCAACCTTGCTCCCCAGGTCAGTGGTAATCTTGAAAATAACAGCCTGCGTTCCTGGTACTGAAGGTAGCAGAATGTCCTCATTCACAAAGAATTGTCGTTTTTTAACTTGTCTGATGTCTCCCTGGAAGATCTCGGGTACAAAACTCACTCAGAGCTTGCCCAGTGCCAACATCCTTTTCCTGAGGCTGTTTGTGAAAGGCAATTACAGGCAAATGTCATAACTCACAGCTGCCTGAGGTGATGGTATAACAGTCCTGGCAAACAATAGACTAAACAAAAAGCTTAAAAGGAATGGCAAGGGAATGACATGTCCACAGGGACTTTGAAACCGCATATATTTCTGGGAATATAGGTCACATACATAAGTAGGGCTGTGGGTATACTCAGGAGAGACCTGAAAAAACCCTAAGCTCTCACCTCTGACCAACCTGGAGGCTCTGTGCAGAGGAAAGTAAAGGCTAAAGCAGTCCGGGCAGGGTGGCTCATGCCTGTAATCCCAGCACTCTGGGAGGCCGGGAGTTCAAGACCAGCCTGAGCAAGAGCGAGACCCTGTCTCTAC